GGAAGTTCAGAGTCCAAGGTCATGGAGTGGACTCGACAGGGAGAAGTTCTCACAAAAAAAGATGATAATTCTGAGGAAGATGACTTCAAGATATTGGAAGAGCCGGAATCTGGAAAAGAAAAAAGGCGGAAGGGAGAACAGCTTGGGGGARAATGTTCATGGAGGAGGGGGAGAGAGGAATGAAGATCAAACTGGGCCTGAGTTGGAAAATGATGGCCTACTACAGGTCTTTAGGGAAGAAGTYCAGACCATTGATGAAGAGGATAGGAAAAAGAAAAAGTCTTTATCAAGAATCTATATAAGGAAACAAAAATATAGAACCACCTTTGCAAGAGGATGCAGAATCTGGAGAAGAGGATGGAGCAATGGATACAGAGGAGAAAGTAACCATAGATGAGACTCACAGAGAAATCTGCGGATATATGAAAAGGTTGCTGAAAACAGGGTGAAGGTCAGTAAATTGTTGGGTTTATTCTTCTTGGGGGGGGGAGAGGATTTCGCAAGAGAAGCTTTTAGGGAGGTGGAAGAGACTATATTCCAGACAAAAGAGAAGATTAAGGGGGCGGCTGATTCTGGTTCAGGGACAACTAAGGAAATTGGAAGTTTAATGATGGTTGGAGATGTAGAGGAGGGGAAGTGTAGAGAAGACCTGAGTGTCAATCAATTGTTTGAGAAGAATGTCATATTTCAGTTAGAAACAATGTTTTAAAATGTGGAGTTGTGACGTGAGGTGTTCCACTACCTAGAGGCGCAAGGAGGCACGAGGCATAGTTTAAAATGTAAGAGGCATAAGCGTCCCAAATACAAGGAGGCATAAGCCTACTTAAGAGGAGGGGGGAGGATGAAGAGGAAGGAGGGAGAAGAGGAAGGAGGATCTCATTTTTCTTTATTTTTAATAAAAATCTTTTATATTAAGAAGAATGAAGATGCATATCACTAGTTAAAAGGGGGAGGGGGGGTAGTCCCCATCCAACTTTCTTTCCCCTTATCTTTTCTTTCCTTTTTTTTCTTTTTTCTTTGTTTTTTTTCCTATCTTTTTACATGAGGCGCATGAGGTGTACACCTCTAGAACGCCTCATGAAAAAAACGTATGAAGTGTACACCTCTTGCACATAAGGGTGTCAACGGACCGGTTTTGGATTGGACCCCGTCCAGTCCAAAACCAATTTGGACAGACTGGACAGACCAACAAGACATTGGATTGGACCAATCTGGTCTAAAATATTTATTAGATTGGATTGGACCTGGTCTGTCCGTAATAAGTTTATATTGGACTGGGTTGGATTAAGCCAATATCTGATCCATTGATATAAAGATAAGAATATAGGTGTCAATGGACCAGGTTTGGGTTGAAACCAATCTAAATCAAAACGAAATTGAACAGATTGGATGGTCCAGACATTGAATTGGACCGGTCCAAAATGGTCCAAAATATTCATTGGACTGGATTGGACCTGGTCCATTTATAATGGACTCACATTGGACTGGATCGGATTGGACCAAACCGAGTTCAATTGACACCCCTACTTGCACATGAGGCGTACGCCTCAGAGGTGTCAACGCCTCTGGCATATGCCTCGAGGCATTTTGGGGGCGCCTCGCCTGGAGGTGCGCCTCCAGGTGTACGCCTCCCACACCTTTTAAAACACTGGTTAGAAAGAATTGATGTTCAAAGAGAGTTTTCTATGAGGGTGGAGAAATGCCCTAATGCAGTAAGAAGAATTAGAAAACAGAAAACCAATCAAAAGAAACAAATTTCACATATTTTTGCCATATTGAAGATGGGAGTATATGGGGTGGGATTAAAAAAGAAAGGGAGAAAAATAAAGAAAGTTACCCAGACGAGACAAGAGATTTCTATATTAGACAGAGGGCATAATGAGAAAATGGATAAAGTTTAAGTGGAACTTTTCAATTTTTCATCAGCTGGATTGTTTGGTTTCAGGATGTCTTTCACATGTATCTTCTGGCAGGATTTCTGTTTCTGGAATATTCAGTCTATTGTGTGCTTTAGTTGTTTTAGGGGTTGGTGGGAGGGACCTCGGAGGTTTTGTTGTTTGTATTTGGATATGGGTTTGTTTCTTAAGGAGCTTTAGTATGTCTGTAAGTTTTTTCTCTGTTTTTTGGGGTTTTGTTAGGGCCAATCTGTTGTTTTTGGGTCTGCTATTGTTGGGCGATTCCTTATCACCCTGCTGTAATTTCCTTTTCCTTTCTCTCTAATAAAGTTTACTTTTTATTTATCTTCAAAAAAAGTTTTGTATGACACACTGAATCAGGTCAGCTTTTTGCTTTTGTATTGTCTTTTATTCCTAAAATTCTGTATGCAGTAGACTTTCATGTTGAATATAATCGTATTATTCTGCTGCTTATCAAGAAAAAGCAGAAGGTCAAAGATATAAAGATTCTTGAACAGTTCATTTTCTTGTGAAATTCAAATAACCATGCAACCATACCACATGCTCCCAACCATGTCTTTCAGAAAATGCTTTTGCAGCCTTCTCACTATCAAAACTAAGCCCTGCATCTCCAACATTGGCATATGGATCCCCTGTGGATGTCCAGCCCATCAGTGGATTTTCCCACCTTCAAAATTATAAGTCAATTATTAAGAAATAGTATTTTTATCCGTCATTTAAAATAAATGGTTTACCAGATTATTAACAAACAAGGTCCCAAAGAGTATTGTAAATACTAAAATAACAAGCCAAAAACCAGGACTAAAATATACAAACTTGTCACAAGAAATCCTTATCCCATAAAAGATATTTGGACACCTAAACTAAAACATATATCTACTACAAGTGAGTTGTGTCTTGTGCAGGCATCCAACTCTTCATAAAAACTTGAAAGCAACACTAAAACATACTTTTTATAAAATTCTCAACCTCAATAACTAATTAAGGAAGAAACAAGAAAATGCAGATCATGGAGCATACTTTTGGGTTGACAAAAAATTGATTTTCCACCTTCCAACTTTTCCAGAACCTTGCTGGGTTGCAGTTCGAGCAGGTGAATATATTATAACCTGACATGTATGGAAGGAAATGAATTAAATTCAACAAACAAAAATGAAAGTGAAACAATCAAGTAACTGTGTAGGTCTTGGTGGTTACATAAGCATGCCTGGGGCTTAATAACTTAATCTATTAGTGAATGGGATATAGTATCTTAATTCTTAGGTTCAACCATGAATTCCAAATTAGAGGTAGCTGGACAAGAGTTGAACTAGTTATCTTTAATTTTGGGGTTTCTTTATGATGGGACATTTGTATTTATTTCTGAATTTTTTGCACGGTGTAGTTGAGTGTTTGTTTTTGTTAGGTTCTGTTTCTTGGCCAGTTATCCCTAATTACTACTTTTCAAGTTCTTATTATTATTTTTATTTTTTTTTTTTTGGGGGGGGGGGAGGGATTTTTTTTGGGGTGGAGGGGATCGTGTTGGAGGATGTGATGGTGTTAATGTGATGCAGTTACATTCTTTGTATGGGTCTGTGTGTAATTTTAGGAAAATTGTGTTTTAAAGCTTACTTAAGCTGTCATATTATTTTGTCTTTGTGTTTGAGGGAATGGCTGGGATCAGCTGTGCTCCGTGGACATGAATTCTTCAATTCCTAAATAGTAAATTGATCTCCCTATCCCATGAATATAGGCTTCTTTTCTGAACCATGTAAATCTTGTGTATGTTCTTTCATCTTTATTTTCTTCATTTTTCTAGATTATTTTCTTTTCCCATCAACTTGCACTCCAACTCTAGTAGTCCGATTTGATGAACTGGTTTGGTGATTTATGACCCATCTACCATCTGCTTTAGAGGTAACTTGTGTTTCTCAGGGTTTGTGATTCATGTCTTTTTTTTATAGATAATGATAGTGAAAATTTTATTAATTAAAGAACTAAGTATACATCATACAATTCCTCACTAAGAGGCGTGAGGTGCAGCCTCCAAACTACATCATAAAGCTTACAATTGATCCCAAAAGAGCTGATTCCTATGTACTCCTTGTTTAGCTTGGAGGTCTGCCAGCCCATTTGCCTATCTTCTTTCCCATTGAACTGTGACTGAAATATTTGAAGTCAGCCACTTAAATCTTCTCAAAGCCCCCTGTACGGCCAGGCTGCCATCTCTGGTTCTTTTAGCCATCCAATAACCAATTTGGAATCACCTTCAATCATTAAATGCTCCACTGCCAACTCTTTTGCATATTCTGCTCCTTGTAACACAGCTTGGAGTTCTGCATTTACTGAGTCTCCCCACCCTATAGGACCAGAAAATAGAGCTACAATCTGACCCTTATCATTTCTAAAGACTCCCCCTATCCCAGATGGCCCTGGGTTGCCCAAACTGCTGCCATCAAAATTTAGTTTAATGACGCCTACATCAAGAGACTTCCAATCCACCACCAGCTTGCTTCTGACTGCGGAACTTTTAGCTAGTTGTTACCAATTTCTCCTTATGTCATCAAAAGTGTAGGAAGAGAACAGATCCAAGGATTTTACCCAGCTTATGTCCCTACATAAGATACTTTCTAACACACATGTTTGATCCCTCTCCTTGTCATTAAAGATTCTAGCATTTTGTTCCTCCCACACCGTCCACACCAAAGCAGCTCTAACACACCTCCACAAAACTCTTCCTCTTATCTTTGGCCACCTGAAAGTTGTAGGATCAAAAAGATTGCAAATCAGCACTGGTTCTGTCCACCTGCACCCAAAAAGATCAAAAAGCTTTTCCCAAAGGCCTACAACAAAAGGGCAAGTGATTAGTATATGGTAGCAACTTTCCTCGTTTGCTTTGCATAGGGTGCACTAGTTAGGAGAGATACAAAGACTAGGTCTTCTTTTTTTTGCAAAACATCCAAAGTGTTGATTTTCCCAAGGGAGACTTCCCAACAAAGGGCTCCAACTTTAAGAGGGACAGGTTTGGACCAAACTTCCTATGAAAAGGTTGAGGCAATGGAGAGGAGCACAAGGAAGCAAAAAAGGAAGCACAAGAAAAGGATCATGAAGGTAAAGGTTTCCAAATACGGGAATCTATAGAAAGAGAGTTCAAACAAACGGGATCAATAGTTTTAAGGAGCAAAGCAACCTGTTCAAGCTCAGAATCTCTCAAATCTCTTCTAAAACCCAGATTCCAGTTTAAGCCAGAAGAAAAGGATGAGGATACAAACCTTTGAATTGGCTTGTTTTTAAAACATGAGATGGAAGACAAGGAGGGCACAGTCACCAATCCAAACATCCTCCCAAAACAAAACCCTATCTCCAGTACTAACATCATACCTGATCAGGTTCAGGAAAACGGGAAGAATACTATGAATAGCCTTCCATGGGGATTTCAGCGTAGCACGCCGAGATACACCAGCATCTCAACCATTGTCTGCAACACCATGCACACTCCTTACCACTTCATGCCAAAGTCTCTTCCTTTCTAGAGGCCACCTCCACAACCATTTACCTAGTAATGCTGTATTTCTCTTCCTTAGATTGCCTAATCCCAAACCCCCCTGCTCCTTCCTCCTGCACACTATTTTCCACCTAACCACATGATCCTTCCTCCCTTCCCCTAGATCCCACAAAAAATCCCTCATAACTTTCTCTACCTTCAAAATCACCTTTTGTGGCATTCTAAAGACGGAAAGAAGGTAAGATGGCAAGTTTGCAAGAGTAGCTCTAATTAAAGTGATCTGACCCCTGAGAGAAATGTAGTTTCTCTTCCAAACTACTAGCTTCTTTGTGCATTTTTCTACGATCGAATTCCAAAATCTTCCTTCTCTTGGATTATCTCCTAGAGGCATACCCAAGTACTTCAAGGACCAGTTACATGTAAGGCAACCTAAGGACTCTACTACCCCACTCAACTCCTCCATCTCCAAATTTACCCCCACTACACAACTCTTTTCAAAATTAACCTTCATCTTCAATACACATTCAAACAACTTTATTACTCCTTTCAAGTTTCTAGCCTTTGAGGGATCTCCAGACTCACAAAAAATGATTGTATCATCCGCAAATTGCAAGTGTGACACAACAATACCCTCTCTTCCTTCCCTCCATCCTCTAAACATATCCAACCCATCAGCTCTCGAAATGAGCCTACTAAACACATTGACTACCAAGGTGAAAAGGAAAGGAGAAAGAGGATCCCCTTGTCTCAACCCTCTAGAGACTAGAAAGAAGTCTCTAACTACTCTGTTAATTAAAACTGAAAAATTACAAGTTTTTAAACAAGCCTCAATCCAGCCACACCATTTCTCTCCAAACCCAAAGTTCCTCAGGGATTCCAACAGAAAAGACCAATCAACCATGTCATACGCTTTCTCCAAGTCCAATTTACATACAAAACCTTTCTTCCCCCTTCTCTTGAATTCCTCCACACATTCATTTGCTATCAAGATTTGATCTATGATTTGTCTTCCTTGAATAAAAACCCCTTGTGATTGTCTTATTAAACTTGGCAAGGCTGATCTTAACCTTAATGACAACACTTTGGCCAAAATTTTATAAATGCTAGTCACTAGATGATGGGTCAAGTCTTTCGATTGAACAGTCTCTCCCTTTTTAGGGATCAAAGCCAGGAAAGTGGAATTGGTCCTTGGACTTATAAGTGAGTCTCCGCAAACTCCTCAAATACTGCCAACAAATTTAACTTGATGATATTCCAACAATCCTGAAAGAAAGCCATAGTGAAACCGTCAAGTCCTGGAGCTTTAGATCTATCCATTGAAACACAACTATAGCTTTTTTTATAAGTCCAGGGATCAATTTTTCTCTTCTATCCTATCTTTGTAATTAATATATATATATATATACATATATATTGCCTTGTAATGAAAAATTCCTTTAATTTATAATTATTGAAATGCAATATCCCCCCCCCCACTGTAACTGAGAAAGAACTAGCTTTAGGCTTGTAAGAGGGGATTGATACTTTGGTAAATCAAGTTGTATTAATCACTCATACTTTCCAAGTTACTATCTTTGTTTCCCTGAACTTTATAAATCTCCAAATGAAAGTCTACCTCCATTGAATGGGCAGATACAAATGAAATAACCAATATAAATAGACCTCTTGGTTTCCTGTATACTTGGGAACGTTGAGTCACTTGCATTTGTACTTCCACGTGTCTAATATTACAAATGCTTACAGGTTTATGTTAGATTCCATTTCGGAGCTTTTCTAGTAAAGCAACTGAAATTGGGAAAGTCACACAAATAGTATAAATGTATTCTCACCATTATCTTGAATCCATTATCAAAGCTTTACTAGTAAAGTAATTGAACTTGCAAAAGGCCCCCTCCCCTCAAATCGTTACTAATATGGGAAGAAATCACAACTTGAATTATGTTGGAAAACTAGAATTATGGTGGAAAGTCTGAAATATTCCAGATATTTTTCACCCCTTTTATGGAAAAACGAATTCAACCTACTATGCCTAATTAATAGACCAATATAAACTCACTCAATGATTTAGAAGAACATATAGAGGCTTGATTAAATAGATTGAAAAAACAGATTATCGTGAACGAGTCACTCTAGTAAATCAAAACAATAAAATAAAAATAAAAACTAGACATTAGCAAACGTACCCTCCTTCGAAGGTGCTCTTCAGGGATTCCCGAAACGATACCGACCTCTCCCGGTTTGACTTCCACCAATGCCTCTGCGGAGAATGATCTCGACGAAGAGAGGAAAGCAGAACGACGAAGTACAGTGGCAGCAGACAAGCCTCGTTGCAGAGTATTGGCCATTTTCAACTATCACTTGCTTCCCGGACCGAATCGTTCTGTCGTGTACTAGCCTTTTGGGATCTCCAATCAGAATCAATCAGAATCCTAAGTACCTATTACCTCCGCCACAGTCACGAAGACCTGTTCATGGGCCGGGCTCGGGCTTGGCTTTTGCCAAAAATTCTAATGGGCCCGTTCCCAAGTCCTAGTCAGTGTAAAATAGAGCGAAACCCGGCCCGTGAATAGGTCACCCGTCACCGACATCACAGAGCGCATTTCACACCGACATCTCCCTTCCATAAATAAAGGCAAACGAGCACAGGAGACGTTTCCGATATGCGGCTCTGATGTTATAAGACTCCGGATTTCCTGTTCATAATAATTCTGCCCACGTCTATCCACAACACACTATCCCTGTGAATTGGGAACGTCTTTCCCTGCATAATATTATAAGAGGATGAGATGTTCTCCATGTATGGCTGCGATGTTATGTGGGTAAAGTTTGTGTGGGCAGGAGATCCGGACTCGTGTTATAAGGTTAGTGTGAGGACCAGATCCAGACTCTTATTCCTTTCTTGGGTTGAAACGAGACCAGATTTGCTCTTTAAATAGCCCTTTTCACAACACATTCAGCCATGCATTGGGAATATTTTTTGTACATATATTTCATCATTCATGGAGAGATATTCCATTATTCCCAATACATGACTTCCATATTTAGGTGAGGATGGTGTGAGGAGCGCTCCTTACAGCACCTTCAGTCCTGCATTGGAAGTATCTCTGGACATGTATTTTATCATTCATGGAGAGATGTTCCCAATGTGTAGTTGTGATGGTGTGAGAAGCATTTTTTGAGGAGCAAAACTGGATTATTTTTTGAGTCCGGATCTACTCCGATGTACATGCTCCTCTTTTATTGCTTTGTTTTTAACCTTCTCTCCATTTTCCTTTTTCCCTTCTCTTTATGCAAAATTATTCTCTTTTTAAATTTTAAATTGTAATTAGGGGTGTCAATGAACCGGTTTTGGGTTGGATGGATTGGGCGGACCAATAAGACAAATTGATTTTGGATGGACCAATAAGACATATTGGATTGGACCTGATCCGTCCATAATGAATTTATATTGGATTGAGCCAATATCTGGTCCATTGGTAGAAGATAAGAGAATAAGTATCAATGGACTAGGTTTGAATTGGAACCAATCTAAATTAACAGGAATTTAAACAGATTAGACACATTGAACTAGATTGGTCCAAAATAGTCCAAAATATTTATTGGGGCTGTGGGGTGGCCCCTTGTGGGGCGGAGATATAATCTCGAAATTCATATGACAATAGGAAGCTAAGTCACTTTCCGAACTGTTAGCATCTAATCCATCTATGTTCCAATGGCCAATATTAGATGAATGCTATCTTTAAAGCTTTACATTTGAGGCCTCTCAAACTATACGGATGATCAAAGTCTTAAGGAGGATTATGCTACATATGAGAAGGCCATCAAGTAAGAGTCATCACAAATCATGAGACTGTTGGATCAAGAGGAAGCTTTTGATGCAGTAAATTTGATTTGATAGAAAAAGCATAATGCTTTAAAGCACATTCCTATAGAATAAGCATTGGCAAAATTAATATATATATATATATATATAAGAATTGCTATTTATTAATGTCTTCTATTTCTGGATTTCATATTTTGTAGGATTTTCTACCCCTTTTCAGATCATGGGGAGGTGCTGAAATAGTTGCAGGGGTGGCTTGCATATTCATTAAACTTGTAAGATATTTTCCAGTCTTCGTATAATTTGCTTTAAACCCATATGCATCTATGTAAAATGTCATATTCTATTCAATGAATAACAGTTCTGGCGAGTTTTTAGTATTGAATCATGCACCATACAGACAAATCGACAAAAGGTAAAATGGAAAGGTATAGTTACCTCTTCATCATACACTATTAAATCAACATATATAACTAAGGTTTTAAAAACCCGGAAATGGAATCGTTCTATCTACCGGTCTTTGGGTTAGCGGTTCGACCATCCGGATCGAACGGTTCGGGAGATTTGCATTGAGAAAGAAGAGAAGAATGATAGAAACAAATGAAGGAGAAAGGGAAAAAAAAGGAAAAGAAGAGAAAGAAAAGCAAGGAAAGAAAGAGGGAAGGAAGGAAGAAGAAGGAAGAGGAGGAGAATGGATTCGACACTCACCGGCGATGGCGACGGCGACAACGAGATGGTGATAGTGGTAACAACGCAGATGATAGATCTGAGATCTGAGATATGAGTTCTCAGATAAGAAAACTGCAACTTCTTCTTCTTCTCTCTTCAATCTCTCTGGATATCAGATCTGAGTTTGTGTCTCAGACTCAGAGTTTCTCCCTCTCTGCAATTTCTCAAACCGTGAACCGTTGTACAGGTCAAACGAATTGATGGTTCGACTGCCTGGGTCAGCAGTTTTCTAACAAAGTCAACGGTTTTTGACCTAAGAACGGATTAGGGGTGAAACAGAACTGGTTGCTTGGATGGTTTCCGGGCCAAACAGTCCGATCATCTGGGTCAACAACGATTCAAAAACATTGTATATAACCCTGTAAGGCATTTGCCATCATCATCTACGTACGTAGAAAAGTAAGTGGATTACGGTATAGAAAATAAAAACACCCCCAGAGGTTTCAAGTGTTTCTATGAGAATCATATTGGGTTGATGTTTTAAGAAGACAAAATTTTTTATCTTATAGAGGAGCTCAATAGTGTTCTATGTGATCAAAATAGATAATTTCAGAACCTTTTTTTTTATTTTCTTTTGCAATGTTGTGAGAAAATCAATAGTTTTCTATGTGGCTAACTTTGTAGTTAGGCATTGATCGTGAGAAGATCAACTCAAACCACGTGGTTTGATAGTACCTACAACAGTGGATGGAGAACCAACTCAACCGCTTATCAAAGGTAGATAGAAAACAAATGTTAAGCATTTTTTTTTTCGATTGGGAAAATCAATGATGTCAGAAAGACATTAGATCGGAGAGGCTTTGATCAATCACAACCCCCATGAATTTTGGCAAAAACCTACCTGATTGGTTCATACTTTTAAGATTAATCTTGGGATGTCATAAATAAAAAAAAAATATTTAAAAAATCATCAACCAAATCCAATGAATCTCTTGATAAATGCTATCAAAATTGTCTTTGATACCTACAATAATATAATTTAATTTGATGAAAAAAAAGCACAACTATAAGTTGGTGAGAGAAAAACTTTTTATTTTCTTTTTATTTGGACAATTAATTACTACCCTTTAGTCTTTACTTTCTCTACAATGGATTATGTGTGAAATGATTGATAACATGGAGTACAAAAATTGATGCAGAAAAAGTTTTCTCCTTCTTTGGAGGGAAAGGTTACTTTCTAGGTAGATAACCAACCTACATCTCCAATATTTGAAAGAATAATAAATTATGTCATCACATAGTTTGTGTCTTTGAAGATCGTTTGATATAATATATATCTAAAAAGTGGCTGGACTGAAAAATCTATTGCTTTGTCTCTTAGGCTGTGTTTGGAAACGGTATACCGATGACGTTTTACACTGAACTATGATTCAATGATCATTGTACTATTGAAAAGTGTGACGTGATCGGTGTAAAGTTTTACATCAATTTTATTGATATAGTATTTACATCGATAATCAATGTAAAATTTTATGTTTGATGAGATTTTACACCGATTTACCATATAAATCACAGCCTTGATTTACACCAATTCTAAACGCAGCCTTAGGTGTGTTTGACAACAAGGTTGGTTTTGTTTTTGAAAACAAAAGCAACTACTATGTATGCAAAATTAAAACCAACCATGTTGTCGGAGACCCCTTATGATTTTATGAATAAGTTTTTAAGGGTTTTGAGTTACATAATGGCTGAAGTTGTAATGGAAGATTATTATATACTCAAATATTTTCTTATTTAATTTACTCTATGTTTGGTTTTATGGACGTTCATAAAAAAAAATATCGTCACATCAGTGTCACTTAGGTGTTTGCATTTATTACTCTATTTCCTCACACCATTGTTAGCATTTATTAAGGGGGTGTTCCACTGTTCTATAGTGTGGATGAGAAATTGGTGGGTGTGGATTGGTCCACACCACACCTGTGGTAGGGATCAATCCACACCACACCTCAGTCCACAACTATTCTGAACTGTGGGCAAATTGTGTGGACTGGACCAATCCACACCCACAATGGCGTTCTGTAGGCGTGGATCCACACCATTCTTTTTTATTCCATGTATCTCATATACATTTATGAGTGATCTACACCAACATTTTAAAGAACCCAGAAACGGAACCGTTTTGGCCATCGGTTTTTGGGTTGACAGTCCAACTGTCTGGTTCAATTGGACGACCCGTGCTGACAAACAAATTAAAAAAATAAACAATAATTAAAAATTAAAAAAAACAGTAAAAAACCGTTGAATGGGTCAATGGTTCGATCGCTCGGTCAACGGATTGTTGACTTTTTCAATGGTTTTTGGCCAAAAACTAGGTTTGGGATAAAACGGAACCGCTTGCCTAGACGGTTCCCAGGCCAAACGGTCTGGGAACCGTTTGACATTTTATATGATAAATATATTGAAAAATGATTCGACAAATTAATATTAACCAACAAAATTTAATTTTTTATAAAAAACAATAGTAAAATAATTAAAATTTTAAAAAATATATTTAAAATATTATTTTATTGATAAAACAGTAAAAATTTAAAAAATTTAAAAATTAAATAATTAATATTTTATTGATAAAAATATTAAAATGTGAAACAGACAATAAGGTTTTAGCCTTTTAAGGAAAGTGTGAAGTAGAAGATCAAAAATCAAATGTGGACGGTCCCTAACCACAAGATTTTGTCGTGGATGAGAAATTGTGGTGTGGATAGAACAGGTCCTGTCCACAACCTGCAAAACGGGTGTTCATCCCATCCACGAGATGAACACGATGCTAAACACTGCCTAAATAAACATTAAAAAATAGAATTGCTTGGATTTATATGCATAAGGCATTGGAAGGAACGTAACTTCAAAACTCTGGTATTCAACCACTACGACTGAATCACGAGGGAGATGGATATTATCATGGTTTTTAAAATCGGATCAAACTGGATGGTTGGACTGAAAAAAACAAAAACTGGTCTATTTTACCCTAGAATCATCTTTTTGGCAAAAACCGTTGATTTAGTCAACAAACCGTTAAACTAGGCGGGCAAACCGTCCAATGGTTTTTGGCCGTTTTTTAATTTTAATTTTTTATTTCTTTTGTCAAAATCAAGGATTAAAGTATCGGTATCGGGTATCGTATCAGATAAATCAAATATGGATATGGATATGGATACGCTTTGGAAACGCATGGATACAAATGAAAGATATAGAAACGCTTGGATACGCTAGTGAAATGCATACAAATCACATAAATACATTAATAATACTAAACCAAAAGCTGAATTATCTATGAATAAGATATAAAGACATGAGAAATGCATACTTCAATAGGTTATATGAAAAGAAATATTACAATGAACAATACTGGAACTCTAGAACATTCAAACATTGTACAATAATTATCATTCTTTCAATTTTATAATTATAATTTTCAATTTTTATTAATTTTTGGGAATATTTATTAATTTAGTATTTTATTTAAATAAAAAATACTTTTAAATAATAAATATGTTTTCATATTTAACATATAATTTTTTTTTATTTTACACATAATTGTAAAATAAAACAAATAAATCATTTAAGGTAGATAAAATAAATTATATTTAATTTTCAGTTTTTATTAATTCTTTTGGGAAAATTAAATCTTAAATTATTTGTTTCAGTTTTTATAATTATAATTTTTTGTTTTTCATTAATTTTGTTGGGAAAATTTATTTATTTAGTATTTTTATATAATAACTATTTTTTTCAAATAATAACTATGTTTTCATTTTTAACAAATAATTATGTGTAAAATAAAATATATAACTCATCCAAGGTAGATAAAATATATTATTTTTATAATTTTTACTTTTTATTAATTTTTTGTGAAAAAAATTAAATCTTAAATTATTTTTTTTTTCAGTTTTCATAATACTATTTTTTAACTTGTATTAAAGATGAAAAACAATCCAAAAGTACTCAATGTACAATTTTGTCAAGCTAGACACGGATACACCTCCGTATCGGTGTGTATTGGATAGTATCCTTCGATATAGTGCGATACGGTCTGATACGGAGGCATATCGCACCGATACACACGACTTGTAAGGTACATATCCAATCGTAGCATATCATGTATCTATGATCATAGATATGAATACGATACACCCCGTATCAAAAGCATCATATCGATACCTTAATCCTTATTCAGAATGAGCCGTCCATTTGATTCAAACGATCGGACCATTCAACCCTGTAACCGGACCCTGAATGGTTTCATTGTCCAATCCGATTTTAAAAACCTTATATATTATAGACCAGAGCGTGGAGATTGGAGTGAGGAAATAAAATAAATGGATTAATTTTTTTTTTAATGCAATAAATGGATTAGATTTCGTATGGTCATCTGGCTGTGAAACCATAATAAGTCAAGTATAAGATTATTGAGTGGAACATGCAAAAAAGAGAGATGAAAATAAATTGTCAAATCCTTCACATGGTTGACTGGACGTGAACCAAGGCTAGCTAGTATCAGCATTATATATATATATATATAAAGAAAAACTATATAATATTTAGTAACACGATGGATAGTTCCTTGACATAATCTTGCATTTCATCACCTGATATTTATTGATATTTATTTGGCATCTCCGTTTCTGAAATAAGTATGTCCCAAAAGCCAAGGTGTTGTTTTGCAATATACATTCTTTTCTCCGAAAAGGAGAAAACTAACTTATTTAATTATCCGAGATAAGTTTATGGTACAGACGAGATTCAGGAGTCGTACGTACGCATAATATATGTTCTAACGAGTAATGATTGATAGACTACTACATCTATGTCAAATCAGATCTCATATGTCATTCCAACCCTGAGGAGCCTTTCCCGTGGAATCAACATTGTCTTCTCTCCTTGTCGGAAGTTCCTCCTCAGGAAATTGTAGCCATAGTTGACGACCAACTTCTTGAACAAGGAGGATTCCTCTTCGGCCACCACTTCTGCTTCTCCCAAGAGATACACCACCCCATTATCCAACTGTCTCTGAATAAACTGCATCTCCTCTTCAGCACTTTGTATGGGCCCACTCACTATTCGATTCGAACAATTTGTTGATCGAGCAACCACTGTATTGATGGTAGATTCCGATGAAACACTACGAGCTGATGGGATGTTTTGTTGCATGGGTTCCTGATCAACACGCACTCTTGATGATGACCGCCCTGATCCACGTAACACCCCGTCTTTTGATAGTAGACTGGAATACGTGAGGCTCATTTCCTCATCAGCAGGCTCCAGAGCTGCTGCTTTTTGTTGATGATGAGAAGGAATACCTTCGAATATGAAGTGTTCATGGCGGATAAATTCTTTCAAGTATTGCACCAGTTGACGCTCAAAGACCTCCGGCTTGTCAATAAGGTCCTTATATCCATAGCGCACGACACACCGAAATATCCAATATTCTTTGGGCTCAACCTGTCGAAATAGAAACCGCTCCTCCGGGGCAACTTTACTGATTGGTATGTGCTTTATAGAGACGAACACTAGGATTGAGTGGATGGATGGTATATTAGCAATAAAATGGGGAAATATTGGTGGAATTCCCTGCACAAGCTCCGAGTATAGAAGTCCAATTCCGGGCACCCTGCTTATAGCTGGGTTCTTGGCTAAATCTTTTACAAATTCACCGGAAACCTTGTGGCTCAGCTCGAACACGTATCTTTCTCTGTGAACATAATGCCATATGCCCATTATAGCCATCAACACAACTGAAAAGACCAGCGGTAGGAAGCCTCCTTGTACGAACTTAGACAGGACGGAGGACAGATATACGAATTCTATCGAACCAAACACCAGAAAGAACAGTGTGATCCACCAAATCTTTGTCTTCCATATCATGAGCATTATGAGAACAACTAAAAGTGTCGTAATCACCATTACAGCAACCACTGCAATGCCTGCACCAAAACCCCAATAATATATCCCATTATAATTAGTATTAATCTTTTCATTTTCTTTCTGTCCACAGGAGAATTACCATATGCATTGCCGATCTTTTCTGTAGTTTTGAAGAGGACAGTAACTATAACACAGGCGATCATGAGAATGTAGTTAATCTCGGGGATGTAAACCTGCCCTTCATATTTGGTGGAGGTGTGAACCACCTTCACCCTCGGAAAACAACCTAAACTTAGCGACTGGGATATGATTGCAAATGCTCCAGATATCATGGCTTGGCTGGCAATGATGGCAGCAGCAACAGCCACAACAAATATTGGCCAGTACAATGGATCTGCATGCATGTCATCCCGTTAATTATTCAATTAAAGTTATATAATTAACACGCACAGCCCATAATAATCATCAACTTAATTAATTTGACTTACTTGGAATGGAAGCGTAGAAAGTATCAGAAACTTTATCAGAGAATTTGGTGAGGTATGCAGCCTGACCAATATAGGCACATAGCAGTGCAGGAAGAACAACTCCGGAGAAGCTTATCTGTAATTCAATTCCGCCATGGTGATTGACATGTCCATTATTATATACTGTTGGCAAACTAAACAACTTGGACGAGTAATAAATATTAAATTAATATTTAACCAGCATCAGGACTCATCGATCATGAGTCTATGGCATATACGTACTTGAATGGCTCGGACTGAGAAGTGACCCAAGTCAGCAAACATGGCTTCAGTGCCTGTTTTCCATTACGCCAAGTAAAAGTAGGTGGTGGTGATGAGAATAGTACAAATTAAGAGAAATATCGAGAGCTAGCTAGCTAGTTCTACCCACCTGTAATGCACAACACAATACCACCTAGAGATCTCCATCCTTGTTTGCCGTTTCTTTTGAAGTAGTCTATAATGTATTTTGGATTGAAAGCACGTAAAACACCGATTTCGTGCTTGAATAAGTTGTAGAGACCAATGCCACCAATGAAAGAAAACCACAATATGATGATTGGTGCAAATGAGTAGCCAATTTTGTCAGTGCCGAAGCGCTGAACAGCAAAGAGACAGATCAAAATTGCTACAGAAATTCCGACTATGGTGTCTGGAGAATGACAACACACATAAGAAAGAAAGAAAAAGATAAATGGATCGAGTTAATTAGCAGTCGCAAATTAAATTAAACCCTGCCTTACAGCATACTAGTTTATTAACATCTCCATCTATATATCTACTGACTTTGAAATTAGTCAATTCAACACTTTCATCGATCCGTACCAGAACAAATTGATTTTTATTACTAGTGGATTTAACTATATATTTGTCTTGGTAGCTAGGTTCTAGGGAAATGGATGATTTGAATCAAAATCGATTTGACTGTAGGACCCAATCAGTTTGTTTATGTTGATTAAGATAATATCGATCTCTTTCTGTGAATGGACATGCAAGCATATATAAGTTTGGAGCTTGTGGAGTTTGGAATTGCGTCACTTGTAGGGTTTTGGCTAGGCATACATGACTTGTAACTAGGAGTCTTTACAGTGGTTCACCTCATAAGCTTTAGACGTGGACCAATTAAGCTTTAGAGCCATGAATGATTTGGGACCTTCCAATGAAACAGGCTCACGCCAACGATGGAAATCAAAAAGCGGTTCACGCTATGTTTGACCTGACCATTTTGCATTTCATAACTATGGTTAATGGTGCATTAATGTTTTTAACTAATTTAATTTTTTTCACGGGAGATGTGGTGGTCATGTAAATTAAATTACTTTTTTCTTTGGTAGAAACATGTAAAGGTACCGTGATGCTTACAAGAGCGGAGAAAAAGAAAATGTTAAAGTACCTTGATGAAGGGATTTCGCTGACTGCTTGATTCCGCTGACCGCTGAAAGCACTGCAATGAAAATTACAATTTCATTGATCAAGTCTTTTTCTTTTCTATTTGCCACAAGAGAATCTCCAGAAGATCGGAGGAAAGAAAAAAAAAAAAACAAAGGCAAAATTAGGGTGACGCATGGAATTCACGGATGACTGAAATCATAAAGTGAAAGTTTCACGGTTTCACCTGCGTGTGAAGTGTGACTGTGGAAGCTTTACCAAAAACACGATAGGCAGATGGTTTTTGAATAAATGGTTGGGCTTAGAATTTAATATTTTTCGTCCTCTCAAGTGTTAATTGATTTGATCCTAAAACACTGGACTTTTATATTTTGGGTTGGACCCGAATTTCCTCCCCAAACCCGGTCCAACTACACATGTATGCATATGCATGTATATACACAAAATATAAAATTTTCAATACTAATATAATGGTTTAAATTATTTGTGCTAATACGCTTAGAGCATTTTCTTTTTAAATACCTTGGGCTTAATAGATCCACCTGGACCTGATTAAATAAGTACCCGATTCCAACCTGAATGTGTCAAATTTTAGTTCAGGTTGGATTCAGAGTTGGCCACATCAGGCTTATTCTCAGGCTCAGTCCAGAATCGGATCATAGGTTCAAATAAGGGTTGGGCCTGGATTGATCTTAAACCCGTTCCAGCCCACCCAAGTTGCATGGAGGAATCATGTAGTATACCAAGAAAAAAAAGGAAAGAGCAGAAACAAACTTGTCATATTCTGTTACCATCAACAAGTCAAAAGATAGCCATCTTTCATGGGAATCTATGAAATTTAAGTAGAAAAACTAGCCATCGAGCATCAGCTGCTACTCGTGGGCTTATGGGTTGACCAAAAAAGCACTTATACATGGCCAATCAACACAGTTGCCAATATTAGTAGAAAAGCAATGCAGCAACCGTATGCAGATACGGTTTGACCAACCTACATAGTGTGTTATTTATCTATTATTTTTCTTGAAGGCTACATGGTGTGTAATTAATCATTCCCCTTAATAATTAATATATTTTTCTGGTATTAATAATTTAATATAATAGGGGTTTCCTTGTTTTATAGATTTGGGTTAGGACTTAGGAAAGTAAACCCTTTTCTTTTTCCTTGATTCACTCCCTACCCTGGTGAATGTGGGATCCGGATATTCGATCCAAATCTCCACTACAACCAACTATAGCACTTTCTAAGATACTAAAGCAAATAAGCCATAGGAAAAGCCTGAATTAATTTCTATCAAATTTTGCACGAGCAAGGAGCAACGAAACATTTTGCTTTGAGTCGGGTATAGTACTTGATCAGGCCGGATCTTATTCAAATATAACCAGACACAGACACAGTCCACGTTTTCCTAAACACTGAGCATATCGGTGGCCACTGGCCAGTGGGCAGAGCTTTGCTCACAGCACCGCCTTGCTCCATTGCTCGCTCGCGGTAGCGACTAGCACGGAAGATCCGCTTTCTGCACGTTCGTACTTTATATTTCAAAAATCAGCTCAAATCGTGTACGAGACCACAGACGACGGTCAGTCTGGTGGAGAGTGGAGACCGGAGAGTCACACATCTTTCTCTCTCTCTCTCTCTCTCAATAAATTAATTAATTAATCATATAATTAAAATTGGCGAAGAATATGTCCTTCTCATTGTTGTGCAATTGAACTGTTACGGTCTCTGATATGATAAAAGTCAATGACTTGAAACTGAAAGAAGCTACTGACCTGAGATACATGGAGTAAGAACTCCATCCCCGATCACCATGGAGGTCGCCAGAATAGTGATAAGAAAGAGCGCGATTTGAGCCACCTTACTTGTCTCCAGTTTTTCTTTTATCTTTTGAGCCCTCTTCAACTGTCTCGATGGCGTGTCCAGTCTGTAGTTAGACAGCTCCCTGTCCTCCGGTTGATCATTTGGAATTAAGCTCACCTTCGCATACCGGCATATCAAGGAGTAGAGCGCGAAGGTTCCCCCTAAAGAATCAATTAATTACCAGTCACAACACTTATTCTAAACTGCAGTAGGATCGATCGATCTGATCAAGATATAAACGAAAGTAAGTCATGCATGGAACTCACCATCACCATTATCGTTGGCCCGAATAACAATGAACACGTATTTAATCAAGGGTACGAGAACTAGTGTATAAATTATGAGAGACAACACGCCCAGTATGTCGTTATTGTTCTGGATTCCGTCGCTGAAGGTGCTTGCATACACGTAAAGTGGAGATGTCCCTATGTCCCCGTACACCACTCCTAAGCTCTGGAATGCCAGACTCAACGTCGTTCTCCAATCCATCTGTTAGTCAGTCAGCAGAAATTTGTATTTTTTCAGCCCAAAAACAGAGATTAACAAAGAAAAAAACATAGATGAATTACTCTCAGACCTTCGCAGTGTGGTTCATCCAACCATTTGAAACTCTCCCAGCCTCCAAGTGGAGCGAGTCTACATGGCGAAGCTTCGCCCATGACAACTTCCGGTCTTGCATAGTTTTTTCCGGTTCTATAATCACTATTTCTTCCTCTAGATTAGTTTTATTTTTCTCTCCATTAACTTCTTTCCTCTCATCAACTGGATCCGCCATTATTCCTGCTGTATCCAGTTTCTCTATACCCTTTTTTTTCTAGGCTCAGGCCGTGTTATCGTCCTGCCTTCATCTCCTTTTATAGGCAAAAAAACGTAGTCTGAATGCGATATAGGGAAAGAAATTCTATTGGAAATTATTCCCAGTGTGCGGCGATTCCGAAGATCCGGATGCACTAATCCATTTTACTAAAGCTCGTAGGAGGGCATACACGGTTAGCACACTGATGAATGATGATTAAGCACCTAATCCGTTGGTCAATTCGTTTAGCGGTCTGATTCTCTTTTGGTTTTTTTACCAATGGAATGGCATCAGAGGGGAGGGATTCCTGATTCGTGTACATACAAATACAATGCAGGGACTGCGTATACCTCGGGTTTGGATTTTTTTTTTTTTTCCGGTATCATGCCTTCCCACTGAATGCTTTAAATTAAACAGCTCAACAGTCGACATCTGACGCACAATCATTCCACGTGGCTAATTAAATGGGGTAGATTGTCTAGAAAGTCCTCAAACCCTCTTACTGACCTTCTGAATTAGATATATCGGTATACTTCTTTTCTTACGGCATATAATTTCAATGAAGGGCCTGAAGGCCAATAATTCTTGTATTTTATTGAAAGAATTCACAGTCTTCACACAAGCTAAGACAATGATGCATACTAACCCTTGTTGCGCGAAGTCAAAGTCGAATTTCATTGTCCGTCTACAAATGTTTTCCTGGAATTGGACACTAATGCGCACCAGTAACCACCCGTACCATCATCACTATAAAATTTTCAAATATGGTTGGCTTGGACCACTAAACTTCGAGATCGTCTACTTCATATTGAAGATTGAACTATTTTCGGAATGGAATTTGGGATCATCGTTGTTGGTTGTTGCTCTGCTCTGCATCCAAATTTTGGCAATTAAATTTCGAAAATATAGCCTCTAATAAACTAGATAGTAATCCATCATCAAACATAATAAGAATTATGTTTGGGTCGTTTTTCTTAGGATTGATAAGTTCTACAAGCAAGACACAACTTATTTGTTTTTATCGATAGCTAATTAATAATAATAATAATAATAATAATTCAAACAAATTGGAAACCACCTTTCAACATGTAATGGTGTTGATGGGTGGTAGTGATAGTAGATTAGCAGTATTGGAGAGAAATTATGAATGATTGAATATTCTAATGGCCATCAATTTAGCAGAGAAATTTATACAAGATTTGTAAAGATTTTCCTACCTTTTCCTTCAAACCAAACACAGCCTAATGGACACCTTAGTGCATAAAACTCCTGCCAATGCAGGGTTTAGGGAGGGACAGACATATATTCAGCCTTATCCCTGCACATAAAGAGAGGGGTCGTTTTTAAGATTTGAATCCTGATCATTCAAGTCCCCTTTTGGTACAATGTTGTTGCATTTTGGGTTGATCAATACAAATTTGTGTGTGTGTGTGTGAGAGAGAGAGAGAGAGAGAGAGATTTTTACTTGAAATGTTTTGAGTTGATCAATACGAATTCATATTTCTACCTAAATCACACACAAATTTTTACTTGAAATATTTTGGGTTGATTAATACAAATTTTTCTAGTTGAAATACACTCCCATACTACTATATGATGTGGCAATACATATTTCTCACAAATTTGTATTTATCAGCCCATAACCCAACAACAACACAATACCACTATACCAAATACCCCTTAAAACCACGGGCATGGAAATTTTCTTTTATTCGATATATGCTTCAAGATGAAAGAAAACCTACGTACATGGGTTTCACCTGAGTAGGGATGGCAACGAAGAGGGTTTTGTAAATTCTAAATTCTATCCACCTCTTTAGACCTCCCAACCCATATTCTCCCCAAAATATGTAGAAGATTGGATTTTTCAAAATTCCAACCCTCCTTGCACGTGAAAACGCAAAACCCTCCCCGACCCTACCAGTCTCCCTACATTTAAGGGTGTACAGGTTGGGTCTAAAACCCTCATCTAGTCTCTTGTTATATGTAAGCAATAAATAAGTAAAATAACATTAACAAACATCAAAATTTTCAATTATTTGATTAAAATATGCAAAAAAATATAACTATTAATTATCTTTCATATAAAATTCAATACCTAATACATGGTTCGTATGTCTTTCAAATATGCAGGTCATCAGGGAAGATCTGATTTAGCCTAATAGATACTTAGTTGTATAATTCCAAAATTTGCTTTTCAAAAACAAAAAAAAAAGAAAGAAAGAAAGAAAAACCCCATCGGGTGGGAGAGCAAATCAATCCCCCACAACGTCCCACAGCACATTCAAGCCATGTATTGAAAACATCTCCCAATGATGATACCAAAAATGATGATGTCATCATCGGGAAATACTCACAATACATGACAGGAATATGCTGTGGAACGTTATGGGGGGCAATCTGGTGGGGGGCTGATTTGAACTCATCGGGTGGGTAGAGACAGATACCCACCACGTAGAATAAAAATTACCATCCCTAGACCTTAAGTCATTACTACAGTTCCATTGGATTCGCCCTAACCATGTGGTAGGGTAGCGTTAAGACTCTAAAGTTGATGCTTAATTCAGTGGGGGCAGGACCTGCTTATATATCGAACCCGAAATGTTGAGATCAGTAATACCTTTCTGGAACAAATTAGTTAAGATATATATTTTAAAATAGACATCTTCTCACGAATAAAAATAAAAAAGAATTCTGCATTATCTCCTTTTTTATTGCTTTTACATGAATGAAGGCATTTTTTTTGGGTAGACACATGAATGATGTCATTTGCCAATAGAAAAATCATCATATAATATCACGAATAAACACTTAACACCAGTTTATTTAATCCATTTAGAATTTTATAGCTATACAACAACTTTTCTTTTTCATTTCATTAAACCATTGATTCCTTATTATTGGACTTGTAATTTGACTTTTGGAGAATGAGACATATAAACACGGACTCAACACGCCGATGGCGTAATAGTTGAACTGGTCATCTAGCTGTCATTCCAATGGGCCTCATGTGCATTTCGTTCTATTACCACTCTTTAGTATTTTTTAAAACATTTCGTTTCTGGATCATTTTTTAAAACGTTAATCAGAATGGAAATTGGAATCACTTTGAATGGGATTTCATTTCCAAGGGAAAAGGAGGGTGAGGGAATGACCATTCCACCAGGAATAGGAGTGAGATTCTAATTTTACCCAACCAAACAATTGGTCTAATTTTAATTCTAAACCCCTATTCTTGTGAATCAAATGAGCCCAAAATTTTTTTCTTTTTGCATTTTCTTCTTTTATGATTTTTTGTAGACAAACAGGTTGCACAAGCCCTCCCCAAACCCGTAACCCCCCCTCCCAACCTTGGTTAATTAAGGCAGGACTCTATCTCATGTCTATACTACAACCAGATACTAGAGAGTTGACCAACAAGCTAGTTGACACTCGACACCTTTTTAAGAAAAGGTGAGTTTCAAATAACAAAATTTATTTCACAAGGGATCTAAAGAGGTTTTGAAAAGTAAGGACAAATTCTTGAGAAATAAAGAAAACTTGAGTTTTACATAATAAGTTAATAACCCTTTTATATATAACTCGGTTTGAGTCTTGGCCTCTTGGGCTAAAACGGTAAAATCACAACCTTCAATGAATTGCTATGACCCCACCTTGATTAATGACCACGGGTTAATGTGACCACCACGCGTGCTAAACTGCTGACTTTGGACATATCACATGTGATTTGGACATACAACTCATAATTTAAGCATAATATGCCATAATTCATAAATGTACTATTCCTTTCACGTGCTTAATGAACGGAATAAGTGTTATCCTAGCCCAAGAATCATATAGTATGCTATAGAAAAACCTCAAGAGCTGAGGTCATAAATTGGGACATGGGGTTATAACCATTCCAATGGAATGGGAGTTGTGTGATCACAATTCATTTTCATATCATACGATTTTCACAAACTATAATTTCCAAAGTAATAATGGAAAAAAAAAGAGTGATTATGATGCCGAATAATATTAGTATTTTAAAGGATCGGAAAAAATAAATATTATGCACAATTGCACATGGATAATCCAGCTAGTGCCACATCAAATCAAGGTTCAAAATATTGATACGTCCGATGTGGTGGTTTGGGCATATCGGGCGAATCGATATAGCTTTTGGTACTTTTTTTTTTCGCAACTGGTTCAGGGGAGCCGGTTTAGTACTCCTCCACACCTAGAACTGGTTAGACCCCTGATACACCCATTGTAGGGGCATATCGGAGGAGTTCCAGAACGATACGTATCAACCGATATGAGCCGATACGTGTCGACACTTTGAACCTTGCATCAAATCAACTACATTGATTTGCCATGTCAGTCATGTAGAAAACTCTTCTTCACCTCATTCTTATTAATGCTCACACTTGACCAGCTATTTGTTTCCTGTCCCAAGATTCTTCTTTAAGCCATGTTTGTCTGAGGTGGAAAATCGTACAAGTATAAACTTTATACTCCGATTCTGATGAGGGCAGATTTGGCCCTCCAGTGAAATTGTGACATGTGGCACCTCATGACAACTAGGCAAACTCCCAGGCAACAACTTACCAAGTTGGTGTCCCACCTGGGCACCGGTCTGGCCGGCCTGGCGTGACCTGCACGCGGCCTGGCGCGGATTTGGCCCTCCAGTGAAATTGCGACACGTGGC